GGTATTCAAATTGACTTTATTATTTAATTGTGAACTCAATTAATATTTTTCATTTTTCATAGGACTTGATTCTCTGTTTTTAGCTTTAAATGAATATGATTTTAAACTAACAGGGCTTCCTTAGAAGACAAGTACCAAAAATACTAAAATGGTCAATTAAACAGAAAAAAAAATTTTTAACCATTGACAATCTTATATTTTGTTAACTTATCTCGTTGAATGTTTAGCAGATAAGTAATTTTTGGCTACAAGATGAATTCTTGTAATCTGAATTGGCATTGAAAGCATTAAAATTGACGGTAGAATTCTTGATCAAAGAAGGCTCTTAACTGTTTGGATTAATATTGTAATGCTATAATCCGTTTCCTAGCGTATGCTTGTCTTATTAAAATTTACTTCCTATTCATATCCTTGACGTTAGTAATTCCCTGATCAAAATTATCAGAATTTCGGTTGTCGAGTTTAAGAAAATTAAAACTAATATATCTCAAAAATCGGTATATAAAACGGAGGATTATATTAGAATAACCTAATGCTAGAAATAAAGTACATGCAATTAGGTAACATATATGTGCTTCGTTTTCTAGGTTTATTCTAACCACAAGAAGCTATTTTATGAGCTTTATCTCATCTATTCGTAATCTTCAACCCAACTATTGTCCCAAGCTTCATATGTATGAAAGATTATTAAGAAACATACCAAAGCCAATAGCAAAGAACCTTAATAATTATATTCCACTTCTAGCGTAAAGTTTTCTGTTGTAAAACAATAAATCTTGAAAAAAGAAACCATTAATATATCTTATAATATTATACATGTAATGTTTTTTGCCCAAAATTGTATATTTATATATTTAAGAGATATTCATACAAGAATTTACATAAATATAAACCATGCTTATGCCTTTAGCTGTTATCATTCAATTCATTAAGTTTTGTGTACATTTCCAATAAACAACAGGTCCTTTAACCCCTGGTGGCTTTATCGGTGTGCAAGCACAAGCGCATACTACAACTCCTGCTGCGTCCACACGCATCACGTCTATACCGCCGTTTAGTACAGCGACACGAGGAAAACCTGCCTCGACTAAATCACTGGCAAACTTGAAAACGAAAAAATTTGTTTTTTAAAAAAAAAAAAACTTATGACAAATCGTTAATATTTTTGAATTATAAAATAGATATGCGAACCTGCGGCCCTGACCCTCCACGTATTCCAACTACTCCAACTACAACATGGTACTTCTTTCTTTCTTGCCACAATGTTTGTGACAATTGTTCTAGATGCGCTGGATTCATATTAATTGATAATGGAAAATGACCTCTTCCAAATCTATAAATAAAAAAATTAATGCTTTAGTTACAAAATCAATTGTCATAAATAACAACAATTAATTAATGCGTACTCCTGATCAGTTCTCGTATCAATTACTAAAACGTAGTTTTTTAGTTTAACTAAATCCTTAAGTGATATTCTAGGTGCCAATTCGGCTTCTTTTACTTCGATAGGTGTAGGCTGTTCCCACCAGCGTTCGCGTTGATCATGCTTTAAAAATCATGGAATAAAATAAAAAAAATTATATATATAAATACGAAAATATCATTTTAAAGAAAGATAATAACTATATATACTTGATTTTCGTGAGTTTTTTCATCCGATTCGTGTTCACGATGTATCACTGAAGGAGGTGTAACTTTATACATTGATAATGCTGATTGAACGCACTTTTCAATATCGACATTCGGGAATGAATCGGCAACCATTAAACATTCATTAAACTCTGACTTGATGAGTGTATCACGAAATTGCCTTATAATCGAAACACCTGTGAATAATGGTAATGATGGCGCTCCAACAATAACTTTATCCCATAGGTGATAGGTTTTATCGAGCGGAAACACATCTGATCAAATAAATTTTATAAGAAATTATGGTAATATGAAATAATAAATAATAAGGTAATGATATTATTATAAGAACTTACGTGTGAACAATGTTAAAAACCATGGAACAGCATATAAATCGGGTTTATATCCAATCTTGTTGAGGTGTCTAGATAGTTCCGGATCATGAAATGATAAAAGATGACGAAAGACTGCAAGATATTCTCGGATAACAGATGAGTTATCAGATATAAAGAAATCTTTCATAAATTTAGGAATAAACGCATGATAGCAGGTGAATGCCAGAGCTTCATCATTAAAATTAAGAGTTAAGAAAGGCGCACACAGAGAATCAAGTCCTATGAAAAATGAAAAATATTAATTGAGTTCACAATTAAATAATAAAGTCAATTTGAATACC